TTCCTGCTTGTGTCGTCCCGGAACCACAATGCACCACTAAGCACTAACTATAGATTTTAGGCGATGACTGGCACATGTACGTATTATTCTTCCCTGGAGTTGAACTCTGATACATTTTCTGAAAAACAAATAATTTGGTATATTATACTTGTATAGAAACACCTGGTATGGAATACCTAAATTTTTTAACTTAAACATACATTATGCACAAACATTTAAGGGATCTGAGGGGCTGTAGCCCTTTTGAAAATGTTAGGAATATGTAAAAACGCTTCTAGTGTTCTTGGAACGTATTGCTTATGTTTATGAGTTATGACGAAACAATGGGCACGTATTAATTGTATATTAAGGTTGCTGCAAACCTGCAAAAGTCTAAAATATAACTGAGTATTACTTAAGTTTTTACCAAGTCCACGAGATCAGCATATCAAACTTAGGAGTCATCCTTGTTAAGCCTTCCCTTCATGTGTAACAAATTATCAACTCCTATCCCCGAAGCAACATCATAGCTACGCCACCGACATACGGTAAGTACGCAACCACTTCAACCCCCATAATAATGACTAAACAGCATATGCACAATATGCACTACCGATCTTAACATACACACCATACAATTGTATCCATTTTAAAATCTGTTAATATACCTTTAATTTTTTATGTGGGACATGGCTACTTGGCTAAAACTTATTTAGAGTTATTTTACTAATAACTTAATTTTTTTTTTGCACAACTGTTTAATTTAAAAACGTGGATGAATTTCAACTATACTATATAGGAATATTTCGATTACAAAAAAAAAAAATGTAATATTATTTATATAATTATAGGTACGCATATTTTAATTGACATTATATTTAAAACCTTATAATTTATAGTTGTTACAACAAGTCAGGTCCATTGAAGTATACTACTAGGACACTATTCGACACTATTCAAACATAATATATGTGCCTGTACATTATTATGTGTATTATAATTTATAGCGTTAGTCAAATGGTTTCATAACATTGGAATATTCCCATGAAAATATAAAATACGGCCAACTTATTATTACTTTTTATGAGTGAATGTATATTTCTATAATGCGAATTATTTTTATGTATAATATATGACATAATTAAAACTTACGAAGACTCCGTAAAGTAACTTTTTTGTTTTAGGAAGAGAGAATATTTATATTTTATTTAGGTAAACAAATTATAGTCATAACTCATAACTCATGCACGTAATATTGTTTTACGTTTAAATCTGTGTCTATTGTAATTAATAGGTAGGTAACCTATATCAGTTACCTGAAACTTGACTTGTTCTTATTAAAATATAATTTGGGCGTGATTATTTTTATTTTATGAGTGTGAATATTGAATTTGAATTTTATCTTTCCTAATTTAAAGTTATTTTTACACCATTAAAATTTTGCTAAGTAAAAAATAAAATTTAAAAGAGATGTTTTACTTATTTACGATTATCAAAATCATAGATATATTTATTTTATCTGATTGAATTTGACTAATTTGAGCAGATACCACATAAATGTTTGGCATTATCAATAAAGTATCCAAGTCATGCAAAAATCATTGAATATTCTTATCGATGTATCTTATTGTATGAAAAATATTCGAAATAAGAACTACCATCTTAAGATGTACCGTACCTACCTATATGTGCAAAACATTGAGACCTTCATTTAAAGTAATTTAATAATGCCCTTCAATTTGTTATAGATTTCTATTTTTATACAAATGTAAATACAATACACTTAATACCTTGATATACCTACGTTAACTCAAAGACGATTTTTCTTTTAAGACACAATAAAATTATGAAAACTAGATATTGACATGGGCATCAAGACAGCCTTGATGGATTACAGAGCCTTTATCTTCTTTTGAAGAGTTCATCATTGGCACTAAATATATGATTAAGAATTCAAATCTATATAATATATTATACTTATGTGTCACGGCCTGTATTATTTGCATAAAATAGACAATAAAGCGAACAATTTACTTATACAAAAGATAAATTACCAATTATGAAATTTTAATTATATATTTAATGTAATATAATATATAATATGATACTATTGCAGTGTTGGACGTATAGAAATTATAAATATATACAAATTATATTTATAATTAATGAAAAATTAATTAATTATATACTACTAAGTATGATCATAATATAGCTTAAAGCTGTAAAGGAAACATTTCAATATTTTCAAATATTTTATTTTTATCTATGTAAGTCATAAAAGTTTAATTTTATAAACTTCATATTTGAATTATTAGTTTATGAAATATTTTAGACTTTATTGCTAAGTGACAGTGGCGGATCTAGGATTTTTTTATGGGGGGTGCTTAGGTTAAGGTATAATATTGTATTCTGTATACTACATTCTGATGGCATGACATTTTTTTAGTTCTAATTGGCAATTGCACATAAAGCACATTGCTGAATATTTAAAAGGATAAAGATAAGTGACAACTTTAAAAGTACATCTAAAACAAATACCTTTATTTAAAAAAAAATAAAACATAAAAATGTAAACAAGAAATTTAAATTATATCACATCCACTTATTGTATTTTTTATTTCTTAATAATTGATTGACAAAAAACAAATTAAAATGATTAGGACATTTTGACCAATCTTCTAATTCCATCCTCCTTTTTTTTTCCAAGCGAAGGTGTCAACTACTTAAGATATCTATAATTTTTAAATGTATAATAACAAAGTATTAAAGTCAGTGGCGTATATAGGCTCCCTAGGCCAGAGCCCATAGTTAAATTGCAGGTTCAATTAAACCATTTCATGTACCTATATCAAACGTGTTTACAGTTTTTCACCATGATTAATTTAACCGGTTAATTAAAATCGTTTTGAGGAATCAACAAGGAAATGTTAGATTGTCTGGACTTGCTTTGATGACTTTTGTGTTAAATTCACAATAAGATAACATTAAAATATATATTATGTATATATGAAATTGTCAATATTTTTTAAAAAAGAATTAAAAATGAATTTTACATAATAATTATAAAATTGAATAGCTCAATTTTTATTTGTATTTATAACCACCCAGCTCCTTAAAAAATGTATAGTTATGGCTATGTTAGTCTCACTATGCTGACTAGTGATAAATTGGCCCATTATGAAAATAATTTGTACATACGCCACTGATTAAAGTAATAGACAAAATTATTATTTATAATAATACCGTGGATTTAAAATAGTATAATCGGTATTCGGTGATAACACTAGTGATAACTATTATTCTATTCTGTGTAACTACTAGATAATATTATCTACATCGTGGAAAATATCTATGATTTAAACAGTAAGATACTAAACCCAATATTCATGTCTGATACCCGTGACCCGTGGGTTGTATCATAGAACAATATTTATTTATAGTTTTATCGTTCCATTTTTCAGTCACTTCTGGTTATCACTTATCTCAATTGTTGAGGGAAAAATTACTTATAAAAAAAAAAAATAATATTATTTATTTTGTTACCGATTTAGTATAACGTACCCGGCCCACTGAAAAATATGTATAGTATATAGTATTTGTTTTTAACCAGGTAGCAACATGCCAAGGGGGGTGCTATAGCACCCTAGCACCCCCTCTGGATCCGCCACTGCTAAGTGATATAGGAACATTAGGAACCTACCTATATTTATGATATTGATATTTTTCTGTATCTAGGTATCTACATGACTATAAATTATGTATTTATGTAGTACCTTTTTGTATTTTGAATTCGTAATTTTTAAATTAAAGTGTGATGTTAGTTTTTATTTTAACAATCACAATTCACAATATTATTCTGTATAATTTATTAAATATGTTTTAGAATAATTAAAAAAATTTTTATATACATTGTATATGTTTATATGTATTAAGATACATATAAACAGATTATTAATTAAATTTAAAATAAGTTCCCGATTGTAATCATTGTGTATATATTTTATACTACTATTTTATACTAGTATACTACTAAATACTTTTATACGAATTTAAGAATTCTTTACTTATTGAATAAATATTAAATATTATAATAAATACCTATATTATATTACATTTAAATATTAAATTTAGTTATTTGTATGCGATATATCATGTAATATTGTAATATAAATATTATAGAGTATGATTTTCAAAGACTATTTAAAATCCAAATAATATAGTTTTTATTGATGTAAAAATGAAAAATCAATTGTTAATTATAAAAAGGTACATTCAATTTTTAATTTTTGGACTATTACATTTTTGATATGCTGAGAGTGAATAGGTAGTACCTATAGAAAATAATATTTATAGACTTACGGGATTTCGCACGTGAACGGTTTAGCCCGCAGGAAACAGATGTATGTTTGTACCACAGCTCATTCATTCCGATAATATTTTGTAAATGGAAATTACTGCTACACTGATGAAGAAAAAATATTAAATTATTTGTACGCAGGATATGAAGTACGAACACTAAAAAATATCATGATTACTGCAGGTGCTGCAAACCGACATAAGTATGTAACATGTATACTGCAGAATACACGTTTCTTGACTGACACTGGCTAAGTATTTAGTCCAAGGTTCATAAAAATCATATATTTTTTCCATTTTACCATAACACCGACTGTAAAAAAAAAATAATACAAAAATAAATAAATAATATAATAATAATCAAACAAAAACGATTATTATGAGAGCGATTGTATAGTGACGGTGGCCGCGATGGTTCATAAAAAAAGAAATAATAATATCATCGGCCTAAAACGACCACGGACGCACGTGGATGGACAATTGACCAATGAGAGACTGGTGAGCGTGGGGACGCTCGATGCCTCCCTTTTAGTATAAATGCACCGTCCCGTCGGCTGTACAGATCATACTGAATCCAACAGTGTTCTAGAACAGTCACAACTAGTTCTCAACGTTGTTCTTATTTTTCATCAGTGCTTTACTACTACTCACAGTTCAATTCAAAAATGGCGTTCATACAGGTTAGTATAATATATATTCTAAAGTTATATAAATATTATAATGTATTATAAAATAAGTAATAGCTGATCTCGGCTATACTGATATAGAAATTTGAAATATCACTTAACTATAGTTATATGCAGCTTGTGATTTTTATTTCTCTTTTTTGTATACATAGGTTTATTATATAGGTATAGTTCAATAGTTAAATTATAATTGTATATGTAGATATGCTGCATTAAAAATGAAAATCTCTATGTTCGCACCTACCTTTATCGTCAGTATAAATAATAAAAAGTTTATTTTATTTTAAATTCTATAATTTGCAGACAGCTCTAAAGAAAAGTTGTAATTTTTTTTATACTTGATGTATGAATATTTATTTTACTGATACTGCTTTAGATCTGCACTTTTCAAATATAGCAAATTTCAATTTCATTTTCATAAGATACCTATAAATATGTAGTATTAGTTCTTGAATCTAATACAGCGGTTACAATATTGATAATATAATATGCTGTATTGCTATATCTTAACTGGTGGGGTACGACAGTGACTTTAAATTTGCATTTTGGAAATCCGAAACAGTAATACTTGGAGTACCCAAGACGATGCTATAAAATATAAATTACTAATATCGACGGAGTATATTGTGATTAGCTGTATTAGAGACTTTAACGCCCATGCTTGTTTGAAGGGATTATCTATTATTCGGAAAAATTCGAAATACATTATATTTTTATTTACACTGCAGGGTATAATAAATAATGACATTGTTACTTGGTATAAGATTAGAGACATATTGAAAAAAAAAACCTAAAACTTTATCGTTGCAAAATATAATAGTATACTGCTTGTCTGCGTAGTACAACAAGAACACTTATGACGAATTCAATGTTCCTATTTCCTGCAGGATTCGTGCATACATTTTTCCAACCATATATTATATTCATCTAACCTCACTCGTTTTAGTGCATATAAAAGATATATTATACGGTTATTAGTTTATTACACAATAATATATCGTACACTATTCGAAGCATTTTACGATCTCGAGCAGTGTAATATCCACATAAATATTACACACATATACATATATATAGGTATATTTATAATGTATACAATACGCAATCATTAGCGAATTCAATTCGTAATCACGAGGAAAATATAATTTCGAGCGCATTGTTTGTACGCGACACCATATCAGGTATATATGTATATATTATATTATATATATCTATATGTATATAATTTTCGACTTTCTATACGAATTCTCACGGCGGCGGCGTTACGCGCTCTCCGGGCGCTAGTCTGTCCCATTGCAGCTTGCACACATTTATAGACATAATATTATATATATATATATATAAAAACGTGTGACCGTTGCAATATAATATAAATATACGTATGCGTCCGGTTTTCCGCGTGTTACAATTAATAAAAGATCATCGGTGGCGACGACGACTGGCGATTGCGCAACCCCACGTTGACCGCGTTTTCTCGCGACTATAACCCAATTATCGGGTTCATTTTTCACGTCCATTGTGCGTGCTTGGTCGCCGTGCCATTGTCGTGCATGTGAGGGAATAAAAAAATAATTACATTCATAATAGATATACCTATATACCATAGGTAGTATATACTATAACATATACGCTTGCAGTGTGCGCTTCTCAGCGGCGGCGCTAAATATCTACATGCATATATACATATTACCGTATCCTATATAATATATACACACGCGATCGTGATCACACCCGACTCAATAAATTCCGTTTATACATTTAAATAGATATTCACCATGCGTAATGATGTGTATATAATATAATATACGCTATCCGATCATCGAGCACGACTCGGCGCGAACGAGAGGTAGTCCGTCGTCTCTCGTCGCGCCTTCGTCGACTTGAAAAAAAACGTATACCTATATAGGTACAAATAATATATAAAAAATACGCTGCTGCAGTATTATATCGATCATGATTATACCTCCAGCAGTGGCTGGTGCAGTGGTGTCTTATATATTTATATCGAGATGCACGATGGGAGCAGACTGAATACTGCAGGCGCCCTACGCGATTATATACGACGTATAATATAGGGGTGGAAACAGCACAAATGATTTTCGTCCAGATGGCATGTCGAAATTCGTAGTCCGATCGTTGCATAATATCAGTTATAGTTACGGACAAGGCCTGTAAATAGTATTTCATAGAAGTATAATGCACTTTAATGTTATAACCAGGGTTCGGGACTTATAGCATTTGCATATCCATCATAGGTGATGTAAAACATAGCAGAGTGATCTACAAATACGTTTTGTAGTACAGAGAATTAAAATATGAAATTTTATTTTGCATATTTTTGCATATTTTGGGGGTTTTTGCATATTTTAAAGGTTTTTGCATATTTTTTGCTTATTCGACGATTTTTGATGATTGATGGTTAATATAATTGTTCAAAATGTATTAATTAAAATGTTGAACGATTAATTGCGAAAATTTGTTTTGTAGTAATACTATTTGTGTAGCTATCTGTCACAAAAATGTAGTACGTGCACTTGATTTATAAATACCTACTCAACAAATCGAAAACCATGTAGTTATCTGAGTTATGGTTTAACAAACAAATATGTAAAATTATCACCGGAGGAGAGTCTATGGATCTTCGTTCAATAGCAGAAGATCTAACATGTAATGATCTGTTATTTTTCAAGTATGCTCCCATTACTTCCGTCGGACTTGGAACGTTCATTTTCGGCATATAAGTGTATTCTAGCCGATAATAGAAGAGCCTTCCAGTTCGAAAATGTTCGAAAACATCTAATAGTTCATGCAATCACAAAGGCACTAAGATTTAAATTACAAATTTTTTTATTTTTTTAAATATAAAAAAATTAATATATTATATATACCTATTTATTAATACATATTATATCAAATAAATCTTTTTTGTTAATGATTTTTAATTTTTTTTTAAATTTTTTAGTGCATATTATTTTCATTTTTAGTGCATATTTTTAAGTTTATTGGGTCATATATAAGCGCATATTTTAGTGCTTTTTAGTGCTATAAGTCCCGAACCCTGGTTATAACCTATTAATATATTATATTGATACCTCCTAAGGTTTTATACAATTTACCTGCATAAATGTAAGACTAATGTAAGAGAAATAACGATAACAAATAAGAAATCCACATTTTTTGATAAATAATATCGAAATGTATTCGTGTGTTCGTTTGGCAGTGCACACTCGCCGCTCTCTTGTTGCATGTGGCTTGCGGAAGCTACCTGGCTCACCGCGCTGCCGCTTATCATGGTGGTGCACCCGCTGCAATCGGTTACCACCACGGTGGCGCACCTGCTGCTTACCACCACCAGGGTTATGAAGATGCCCAGTCTTATGACTACGCTGCGTACCCAGCTTACTCGTCAGCCAGCACCTACCAAGCCGACTACCCTAGCTACTCCTCGAAACCCGTCGACTACTACGTGAGTGATGCAATACATAATATAATATATTAATTCTTAATTAATCATGCATATATCATAAAATATATAATAACGCGATGATAATCAACTGTGGTGGATTCAAAATGAAAAACACCATAGACTTTAACCACCTAATCTCCCATTCATAAACATTTTTTTAAATTTTTATTAAGATTCTGATCACACTGATTACATATCTGGATTCAATCAAATCTAAAAAAAAAAAACATTAACTTAAAAAAAATATGAATTTTTTCTTTCCTGAAATATAAGCATTTACAGGTTGATATATAACATTCCTTCAATTATTGACCTGCGATTAACAATGATTTATAATATGATGTAGATAGATATACAGAATTGTATTATTCGGACGCATATGACGTTGTTGTAGCTAAATTTTGTACTAAAGTTTGATTTTTACACATTGATTGGTGATATCTTTTGACGTCGATACATTTTGTTAAAAATAATTCATGTAGCAATATTATATTATTTACCAAATATCGTGTATAATTTATCCTCTTTATACAATATACGTTTGCCAATCGGACATTCGGACCTCTTATAACGTCTAAAATTGATCTCCACCAAAAGTTAAATAGGTAACAAAATAAAAACCCACTACCTATAGTCTCTCCCCACTTATACAATATCTTCACAATATCTTCGCTTCATTAACATATACAATATTATGTTGTTTTTATCGTGTCTTAAACTCGGAATGGCCACTATACCATCACGCTGTATCTCTAATGCAGTCGCCGCCCAAGTACTCTTTCAACTACGGCGTGAAGGACTACCACACCGGTGACGTCAAGGACCAATGGGAAGAGAGAGACGGTGACGTTGTCAAGGGTGAATACAGCCTGGTCGAACCAGACGGTACCACACGCAAAGTCACGTACACCGCTGATGACCACAACGGTTTCAACGCGGTCGTACACAAGTCCGGCACTGCCCATCACCCAGCCCAGGTCGCCCACGCACCAGTCTACCACCACGCTTACCGCCGTTGAGATCTATTAACACAAATCGCCCCAACAGTAAACCGTCGGTCACCGCGGTCGTTACCATACGTTATATTATTAGGCATTAATTTTTTTTTAGGCATACGTTTATAAGCGTATAACGTTAATATATAATATATTATATAGCATATAATAGTAGAGTTTTTACCCATACCAAATCAAAAATATAAAAAACACATGTACATAGGAGATACCTAATACCTATATATTTTTTATATTCTTTTTCTTTATTTTCTGTTTCGTACGGTATCTCTGTTATGGTATAATATTAGTACGACGGTCTTAGTATATTAAACTGTATAACATCGTCTCAACTAATATCGATTCTTTTCTTCTCCAATCGTCGTTTTTCGCTAAAATATGCATAATTCTATTATTATTTTTACACAATTTTTACACCCATTAAATCAAGTAAACTATATTTATATATTATACGGTCCTTCGCTTCGTCAATGATCTCTTTTCGATATAATTATTACACTTTAACCGGATAACCCGACGTACCTATATTATAGGTCGTATAGCTTAATATATTGTTTCGTAATTATAATATTTTAATATACCCTTAGAACGAGGAACTTTTTTTACCTTGAAATCATTTTTCATTTGTTTTTTTACACGGTGTTTTTTATTGAATTGTCTACTATTTTATTATGTATTCAAATGTATTATTATTAATTTTTTACACTCATTCAAGAATTGTATACCACAAATATTGGGTATAATATTTCTCGATTGTTAAAAATGTTGTAGAAAACATATAATATCATACTTGAAATTTTTTTGTATACTTTTTACTTGACCATTTATTGTACTCTGTTTTGTATATACATTTTATAATTGCTCATAATATATCTAAAACGTATATATTTATATAATTGTTTATTTTTATTGGATTATTCCTGGATTACTGAAACTATATCATAGTATACCATGATAACACATTAACACCGATACCTACATAATATATCAGATATTAGGTAACTATATGATGGGACGATAACGACGAATTACGTAACATGCATATAGCAATATATTATAACAATAAATTATATAGAAATAAACATAAATGCATAAATTTAATTGCATAAACAGCAGTCAAAATTCATTTTGATTTTGCATTCAGGTGAATTAAGATATATTACTTTTACAGTTTGACGATTGCAATGAATATCATTATGTATATTTATTTATAATATAGGGTGTAACAGATAGAACTGACTTTTGGAATAACTTTTGTTCTGATCATTATTTTTAATTTTTTTTTTTTATATATAATTTATAGCCACTTGCTCTACACGTGTAAGAGGAAAAAAATTATTTTTATTTTTTTATACTGAAAATAAAAAATTTTAAATTTGACTTAAATTTTTTTGAATAAATTCAAAATAGCAAACTTGTGAATCTGATTTTAAGAACGATTTGGATGGTAAAAACATTTATCTAAGTCTAGAAGTTTATTTTTTAGAATTTTTTTAAATATCAATATTTTTTGATAAAATCAATTTGGAACGCAATAGCTTTTTTAAAAATATTATTTTTGGAAATTTTATAACATGGGTATATTCTTAAAACTATTTACTAATCATATAATTTCAACAATTTTTGTCATACATTTAAGTAGCATCAATTTTTTTTTTTTTTTGGTCAGTTCTTTCTGTTACACACGGTATAATAAACTAAAAAGTAATAATTTTCAAGTCACATTTCAAAAACAATATAATTCAACGGCAAGAAGTTACACGGGCACAAATGCGGTACAACACAGGTAGTATAGTAGTATATAATATATATATGGACATAGACGATATAAGCACACTATAATATATAATATATATTATATAAATGCATGGAAACAAATATAGAATATCTATAATACAGTAAATCGTATTTCGCACACGGAATCGTGCGGGTTTTGAATCGAATTCAGAATATTTTTATTTAAGGTTTGCCTCATAATACATATATGTGTACCATAATATAAATTATAACATCTATAGATTACACATAGTATACGCCTGCAGACACGTAGATAACAATATAAGGTATAAGGACTATAGGGTATGGACTTTGGGTAGGGTAGCAATACGAGTAATACGACGGTGCTTGTATTATATATTATTTTCTTATCATTCTCGTCGTGTGACGGTGACCCTATCATAATGACGCATTATAATAAACAAATATTTCGCAACGACCAAATAGCGCGGGGACGGTTGTCACGAATGAGCACGGCGATCGGACACGACACAATAATAATAATAATAATAATATAATATATTATAATGCTCTCGCAGCGATTGTATGCCATGGAGGGGAAAGGAAGAGTATTTTCTGCGCTCATGTACAAAGTTAAATGTTTTATACGTCTGGCGCTGAAAATCGAAAGTCCACATTATACACACATGGTAACGTAAGCGAAATTAGTCCGTCAACAAATTGTGACATTTTTTCGGACATACTGTAAATGCGATTTTGGAATTTGTAGATCATCAGGAACTTCAAGAAATAAAAACCAAGTTAAGGGGGGGGGGAGCGACTTCACGTACATCACATGACGCTTGGTTTGGACGTTTGCACACGGCGGACGCTGTGATTGATTACAATAATTAATAATATTGATTAATGATTGTTAATTGTTATTAAAATTATTACTACATCGCGCACACGCTTTTATAACTATAATTATTATTCATTATTGTAATAGGTAGCTAATTGCAATTAGATGACTGAGAAATGATACGACGAGCACGGGAAATGGAAATAGGTACTTGCCAATTGACACCGTAACGAAACGATAATAAAAAAATAATAAGTCCATTAATTAATTAACGATGATCTAATACTATAATATATATTTGTATTACGTGCACGCGAGTACCTATATTGCCAATACGTTACGCCGTGTTTAAAAACGCCTACACAACTGATAGGTATAATAATAATATTTTGCAGTTATTTAAGGTATTTTTTAAACATTTATTTTTTTATTACTAAATGTGAAAATGTTAATTTCATTTGATTTTTTACAGAGGAAAAAATTTGTAGTTACATGACCAAACTAATCTGAACTTGGATTTAATATTTAATCGTGTACTGTGTACTGAAGGTATATATTTTCTAAATTTATATTTTATCTCTTACCTTGATTTCTTGACAAGTACATGTACAGTTTTTGATTGATTCCTCCACAGTGCGATATGTAAGTGTGACCTTATCCATCCAAAATGGCACTACCTTTTTTAAACCCGAATGACATACAATTTAGTGTACATCAATTCTGTGTTTTGATTTGGCAGTTCTCTTAAACACACCAGTATAATTTTTTTTGGCTGTCTAGCACACGTGTTATTTAATTATGACCGCTCTTTGTATTTTAATTATTGATCATTGTCATAGTTTAGTTTGAGAATATGTATGCATTTGAATATTGTTGTTAGCCAATCGTACTTTTTATGTTAAGTGAACACAAAATATGTTCCATAAAATTATGATCAAAAGTAATACAAATTATTTTAGAGCATTTGTCAACATTTTACAGATTTTAAAGGATATTTTACAATTTTAAGGACATAATTAGTACTCTTCAGACATATTGTAAAAAACATAGAAAATACTAATTTTTATGATATATTTTTTTAATAAGTAAAAATTAGTAAGATATGAGGCAAATACGGTGAGAGGGTTTTACTATATTCAATGTATGTAAGACAGAGAAACAGTTTTTACTTTTACTAATAAAGGGCTGTTAATTGTGTTTTAAAAATATTTTGCGTTTTGAGTAGTACCTAGTGGCTAGTAGTAGTTTTTACCTACATACTATTGTTAAGTCACTGGGATTAATGCAGTGGCGCCGAGTATCAGCTGGGAAAAATTCCCCAGAACTATTTATTGTTGGGTGGATGGGTGATAATAAGTGATCAGTCATTAGTCGTATTATTGTTCTGTGGTCGTATTTAATATTTAAACATCATAATAATTTAACAATAATGGTAAATGTAAAGATTCTTTACTAAAGAATAGGCAATAATAGTATGAGTATTGAGTATTGGAGGTCACCAAGCAGTATATCTCAGTTATAATGGAATGCACTGTTCGAGAGTAGCTAAAAGTTATTTTTAAGTAGTTGGGTCTAACACCAGAATTTTTTCCGCATAACAAGAAATATAGATCGGCACCACTGGATTAAAGAATTGATTTGATTATAATACACATTTTCCTTCCCTCTTTAAGGACAAAATTAATTTCACAACAAGCTTAATGACACCATAATTTGTATTGCTTAAATGTTTGATTTATTTATTATTATCATTTAGATAATGACAATAATACATTTATAAAGTTAGTGTCAAATGTCAATACTTGATAAAGCGTAATACTAAATTTTCCCAACAATACCAAATCATTTATTAATTATCATAATCGGAAAGTTATTTTTCTATATAGTTATTGTGTAACATTTATTTTAAACAAATATAACAACTTTTTATATACCTGATAAGTGATAATATAATAACCTACACAAAAATTGGTGGGATTTACAATTTGCCCGAGTTCAATATTTTGTGAATTTGGTCTAAGACTTGAATGTTAATGTTTCAAGTTTAAGACTGAGTATATATTTTTAATGATTATGAGACCTAAATCAAGTTAAAATGAATCCGGATTATCTTGTTCAAATCAAATTTGACTCTCAGCAGTTATTTCCTCAATGGCAATAAAGCAGTGGTCGGGATTAGAGCGCTAATTGTAGCAACGCTATACAGTAGGAATCTTCTTTATTTGTAGAGCGATTGATGTAGCGTTGCTACATTACGCCATAGATAGCGAAATACTATAGTGCACTAAACATTTCCGGTTAGCGTAGCGAAAATTATCATTATTTTGTCGCTACCTACAATCTAATTGGTAATTAGTTAAAATATCAATATATTTGTTTATTTATATTAAGATAATGATGAGTGTATTAGTGAAGTTTTTGTCCCGAG